AGTAAAAATTATTCAACTGCAGACGAGACGGACGAGGAAAAAACGAACCCTGACCTCTAGAAATACCTCATTCATAGTGCGTCATTACCGAGGAACGCCACCCTAAGGCGACGTAACGCATGTAGTGACATCACAACCGATGCATGCTGGGTTACAACGGAGATTTTGATTGAGGTAACAAAAATGGCGGCGCAGAGTGCATGTTTTTCCGCGATGTTTAAAAACAACATTTCGTTGGCGATTTTGATGTATTTTCTAAGTTAATCATCAATGAATCGTTTTAATTAAGCAAAAATTCTAAGTTTGTGTATTTTTAAACAAAAAAGTCAGGGACCGATGATCGCAACAGCAGCGTTCAACGCAATGCCGTCAGCTGACAATGTTACGGTGATCGTAGCGTTACACAAATAATAGATAGATCAATGAAAATCGCTGACTTTAGTTTTGAAATGCCGTTATAGAAAAAAAAATGTCATTATTGATTTATTAATTTCTTCATACAGATTTAGCAAATTTAACAAACAACCCCCCCCCCCCCCCCCCGTCGTATGAACTGACAGTAACATTGGCACTAAAACTGACTACTTGTACACAAAATAATGATGAACCGGTTACCTCCACGGATAAACAATATATTTACTGACTGGCTATAAGTATTTCCATTTCTTTCCTGTTCTATTTCAAACTGTATTTGACTTGATGCACACATAAAACACAATGAATGTAAATGATAAAAAATATATGAGATATGTATCTCTTCTTTATTTCAGTTATAATGTTTGTTGGGGAAACTAATTATTATGCAAACAAAATTATGCAAATAAGATGTATTGTTATATAAATTAGCCGCGATGCTTGTCTTAGAGTCTGGGGAGAACACTGGCAAGCGATATGGTAAAATGGTGCATGATAAAAATGGTACATGTAATAATGGCACACAGTTCTATTGTAAGACTTAATCATACAAATAAAATATATTTTTTAGCACTTTTAATAAAGTTTTATCAAAGCTAATCTGATATTTTTATTTATTTATTTACTAATAAATCTCCGGTTACAAGCACAGTATATTAATATTCATATACTAATACCTTTTACGTTACAAGCATGTTTTATTATACATGTATTAATTATTTATTTATAAATTGTATTCAGCATACTAATATTTGTTTACTAATAACTTGTCATGTGTGAGTTATTAATAAATAATTACAGCTAAAGTATGTTACAGTGCATATAATGAATTGATACGTCCAAGTGTCAAGATTGAAATTAAAGCATGGGAGTCGTCATCTGCACATGCGACAGAAGACCATAGTACATTGTTTAACGTACATTTTACAAACATTTACCCGTTTTAGAGCGTGATATTGTCGCTTTGAACGCTTTATCATGTATGCACAAATGACACCCCTCCACTTTACTGAATTGATTTTCAAAACAGATTTATTTGAAGATGAATTGTGCATATAGCAGTGTTCTTCCAAGGATATAAACAGCGTGGCGGTGCCGCCACAGTTCTTCGATTTGCCGCCACACCGGTCTGACACCGACACGGTGATTAGCAAGACCACCACAGTGCTTTTTTCATTGGGGATCTCGTCACGCTGGTCGGCCCGACTGGCACTCAAAATTAGCGACCACCACGGAAACGCTTCTGTACAGGACTCTGACCTCTTTGTTTGTAAGTAAGTAAATATTTTCTGATGATAGACGCAGTCTTTAGATTGAAAGCTAAAATTCTTTCAAAATCAATTCCACCCCGATGTAACATGGGCAAAGCGGAGTTCACGATCAGTTTACACTGCTCAAGAAAAAACAACATGTTTATTGCGTGATTGGGTAAAATACATGTGAACTGTTATCATCGTGAATCATGTAAAAACTCTCCTTCAAAGACTTTTTTTACATTTTAAAAATTGCTAATCACCTCTTTCGAAAACCATCATGAAGTTTTTATCTGAAATCCATACCAACACATCGTACTACGACATCGCTTTACTTCCGCAATGTAATTTTTATGATCACGTCATTCAGAAAACTTCGGGTTCTACCGGCATTATCATGCGGCATTCTGATTGGTTAATGCCGTTTTTGACCCACCGGGTCAAAGGACACATGCGGTCAACTAACGCGTCACAGCTATCATGGCGGGTCTGTGTTTTTCACCAAGGTGATCGAGTGATCAAAAATAATTTCTCCCGATAAAATTAGTTCAAATTTTACGTTTTTTTCATATAAAAAAAAGAAGTATTTAGTTTTTAACATCGCGAAGTAAGTTATGTCACGTCGTAACTTTGATGATCGTTTGGAAGTGTTATTTGTTCGTTCATTTACTGTAAATGTAAACGTTGTAGAAGCTGATGGTTGGAATAATAACCAGCAATCCGCCAAATAATTACGTGGTCGATTTTTTGAAAGAGAATTTTGTAGTAAATAAGATCATGAAAGTCGTAAACATAATCCTGGCTGAAACGTTTCATTCATTCACCGTCCCTGTTGAGGGACGGTGATTCATTCAAACTTTTTTTTAGTCTGCAGCATTTGCATTTCGAGAATGTTTCATTTTTAAATTCAAACTCTTCTAAGTTGTGAAACGTAATTTTCTGACTGCAAAAAAAAAATATTTGCACTGTGACGGAGCTCATTAATATTACAAAAGTGCCCAAAAAAAAGTGTTTATAACACTGTGAAGCAAATAAATATCTGCCTCTTTGTTTTTGAAAATATATGTTGTTTATTGTGTGGTTGTAAATGTGCTTTGGTCAATTTCTATTATTATGTAAATGATATGCAAATGATATGCACATCATGCCACCACAGTGGTTTAAATTCCTTGCGAGAACACTGATATAGCAAAAGAAGTACAAATGTCAAGTTAAAAAATTTCACACATAATAGATAATCAAACATACTCTAATTCAGACCCATGAGGGCCAATATTATGCAATGAATTCCGTAATTATAATCTGACAGGCCTGTTTATATATTGAGTTCTACTGTGACAAAAACCAAATTATTTACCTGTTACTTCCTCATTTGCTACCTTGCCTATTAGTTCCACAACTCGAGTCTGCATTGCCCGACATGCCCTATTGAGTTCCTATAAAGCACAAATCAAGAATACAGCCGGCAGAAGTGATGAGATGCAAAGAAAAAGAACATTTTATCACAGGAACATCATAAATAACATGAATTGTTGTTTTGAAAATCATATACCGGTACATAATGCATGGGTTTATACTAGACAAAACAAGTGATCATGCGGCCAAAAGAGCTCAAAAAGAACAGTACAGCGGAGCTTTTTCAGCCACAGGGTGTGGCATTACCCTTGGTGTGGCATTAATGATTGGAGAGGGGGGCATTCTGTCGTGCAATATTACACAGCCTCTCTACACAATGAACATGTGACCTTGTAATGACCTTGACCAAACCCTGAAGATTGGGCCCTGGTAGTTCAGAACCAAACACAATGTGTACTGCAAAACATATAAACATTGAAATGACTTTGACCTGAAATTCAACATTTTTAAAAAACATTGGTCCTCGTAGTTCAGAACCCAACAATAAACTTGTCTATTACAGAGCATGTATTATACATAGCTCATATATATTGTATGGAAAAGTGGGGGGGGGGGGGTATTCACCAAAAAATTCATTACTTTCACAAAAATAGAGATATCTTCACCAAATGAACAAATTTGAAGTCTTGCAGGCAGTTTTGGAGAAGAAGTCAAAAGTATGCAAAAATGAGCATGCCAAATTTCAATGCGATCTGACAAGCAGTTGTAGAAAAAATATTCCCTAAAAACAGAGATTTGGATGTGATGTCATAAAATGAACAAATCTGACAAGAGGACCACCCTAGCAAAATGATCTAGTTTACGGTTTGGGAGAAGAAGTCACTTGAATAAAAGTTGACTGACGACAGCCGATGTACGACGGACAGACTGCAACAGGTTCAGTCAACCCACGAGCACTGCTCGGCCATCTTCCCGGCGCTAAGAAATGAAATTTATTTTATTCATAGCACACTATTCACTAGTGTCATACTGTCTAAGTTTAACTGCCTCATTCAATTAAAATATTACATAACATACCTGCAGTAGTTCTACGTCACTAGAATCAGAACTATTTGGCTGCATTTCATTTAACATTTCGGACATGACCCTAACATTGCCTCCAACTACATCCAATTCACTACGTAATTTGGCCATCTGTTCAGCTGTAGGATTCACAGGGCCTTGAACGAACTGTGCAGGACTAGCGGCACTTGCTGGCCTCTGTTGTTGAGTAGGTTGTCTAGTAGGCGGTCTGCTTTGAGGCGGAGGAACTGCAGGTTCTGGAACAGTCTGTAATAACGTTAGGATATTTAGTTATGTTCAGAAATATTTATTTCAGACCAGAAGCAGAATTTAAAATATTTTGGCCTTCACTTTCATGAAAACTAGCAAACACTAGTGTCAACACAGCAGGTAACAAATTAATGTTATTTTTACTCACCCTATCTGGTGTATAAATAGGAGACATACAATCTAAATCTGTAGCTGGAAATTCAATCCCTTTTTGTTTTAGTTCATTGTACATCTGTACAACCCCTTGCAAATCAGGAGAACTACGAAAGGCATCAGCCCATGACTGAATGAGACTAAGAATCTTTTCTTGAACACACGTTGGTGGATTGTTGTTGGGTTGAATCAGCTTCACCAACTCTTTGATAAAGTCATGCTTACACACCAATAAGTGCAAACGATGACCACAGTTCTTCACACATGTTTCCATCACCTGTGGAAGAGTTAATATGTTGTTTTCAATGTACAATCAGTTACAGTCTAAACAAGTCATTGAAAATGACACAGTCCCCGTTAAGTTCTCTTTGTGCTCGTCATATTAAAGCGGAGGGGTTGTCGCGAGCGTGTCCTTGAAACTTGAGTTCCAAGTGGCGTATACAACAGATTGTTTATTTACATCAAAACACGTGTTTCGTGTCATAGTAATATGGCCAAAATAAAAACAGCCGTTATTCAGCCATCTTTGATCTGATTATGAAACACACTGTATGATGTATGTGCCAAATACGAATGAAAATGGTACATAAATTGTGGAAATATAGTAGTAAGGCCAAAAAGTCAGATGGCTGTCACACGGCCAGCCTTGACCAGATTTTGAAACAAATTGTCATGGACATGCATCCTAACATGTATAAAGTACATGTACATGTATGTGCCAAATTTGAATGAAAACTGACAGAGCATGTCCAAGATACCGCATAAAAAAACAAAAACAAGATGCCTGCCAGTCGACCATCTTTGATCCAATTGCAAAATAAACTGTCATGGACATGTATCCTAACATGTATAATCTATGTACCAAGTTTGAATGACAACTGACAAAGCATGTCCAAAATACAACCTTTTCAAAAAACAAGATGTCTGCCAGTCGGCCATTTTAACTCGAATTGCTAAACCACTGCATGTGCATATGTCCCATATAAGGTACTAGGCACATGCAAAGAATGAACAGAATCAATCCACAGGATTCTTAAATATGACGTTGGATAGACTGACGCACGGACAGACAGACGGACGGTTGAACGGACGGACAGACTCAGGAACTCAAGGACCGTCGGGGACATGTATCCTAACATGTATGATCTATGTACTAAATTTGAATGAAAACTGACAAAGCATGTCCAAAATACGACATTTTCAAAAAACAAGATGGCTGCCAGTCAGCCATCTTTGATCCAATTGTGAAATAAATCATCATGGACATGTATCCTAACATGTATAATCTATGTACCAAATTTGAATGAAAACTGACAAAGCATGTCCAAAATACAACATTTTCAAAAAACAAGATGGCTGCCAGTCGGCCATTTTGAATCGAATCGCTAAACCACTGCATGTGCATATGTCCCAGATAAAGTACTAATCACACATGCAAAGAATGAAGGGAATCAGTCCAAGGGATTCTGAGATATGACTCCGGACGAACGCACAGACGCACGGATGGAGACCGAATTATAAGTCCCCGTTTTCGGACTTCGTCCGAACGGGGACTAATAACATGACATATTTACAAATTACAACCCAATATCTTAAAAGAAGTGAGATAAGACATCATATATTGTCAACAAGTTTCAGGAACACATCTTATGCTGTTTGATTACATAAATAATGCTGCAGGCTTGTTCAAATTTCGTGAATAATGTACCCCGTCAACAGCTGATGTTTACTTGAATTTGTACAATGCAACTGCATATGTTCAGAAGTTCACAGCGCTATAAGCCAAGCGTTTAACTGCAAACACTTAGTGTTCACAGCAATATAAGTCAAGCGTTTAGCTGCAAACACTTAGTGTTCACAGCAATACAAGTCAAATGTTTAGCTGCAAACAGTTGGTGTTCACAGCTATACAAGTCAAATGTTTACCTGCAAACACTTGGTGTTCACAGCAATACAAGTCAAATGTTTAGCCGCAAACACTTGGTGTTCACAACAATACAAGTCAAATGTTTAGCTGCAAACACTTGGTGTTCACAGCAATATAGGTCAAATGTTTAGCTAGAAA